GAAACATTAAATCATTTTCATTGGCCAGCAAAAATTCACGAAAGGCTACCTAGCACATCAACATGAAGTTTCCATTCCATTCATTTATAAATGCTAACGTTTACACCATGCTATTTTGCAACAAAAATGCTTGACATTCAAACATTTGGCTTCATACAAGACAAGGTTGGAAAATGTCACAGCATTGCTGAACGATGCTAGCATGTTGCTATGACATGAAACCCGCTCACACGCACACAAATGCAGCGAGATTCCATCACACAATCACAAGAACACATGCTGCTTGGAACAGGCGATGAAAGAATTTGTTCTAAACTGCGACGGCAGCGATGACGACAATTGCGCGTCTGGCATTTTAGCTCCTTGTATGCTCGGTGCCGGGATCGTTTGATGATGTCTGGCTTGATCAAACGGCCACGTTTCTTCTGCTGTGCAATTGCCTGCCGTCTCCAGAGACTCGCTAATCTGTCATTGGACATGTTCATTAGCCCCTCTGTGTGTGTGTGTGTGTGTGTGTGTGTGTGTGTGTGTGTGTGATAACACAACAGGTATTTGTTCACACCGGGAATCCACAGGAAGCGGCGCATCACGTTGCCATATGACGAGATCAGGAAGAAGAGACTCAATTAACACACGTTTTGATCCCGGGGAAGCTCAGCGCTTTACAAACTAGGATCAAACCATTTCGGCGGCAGCGTGAGAAGCAACAGATGCCGGCAAACAAACATCAAACAACAAGGTTGACACTGTCAAGCTAACACACTGACAAAGATAAGCGGCAACTCGTGGCAAAAAAATAAAAAATAAACTAGAATAGGAGCAGCCTCGTGTAAAATGAAATCTTCACACAAGAACGCTAACAGAGCGTGTGCGATGAATGAGCGCGCCTTTCCTAACTTGATTCCGAGCGAGATGCGAGGGAATGTTTGACAGTAAAAAATAAACACAAAGACGTGATTTTATCGTAGGTTTGCAACTCAAAAAGTCAAATCAAACCTTGTGATTTAAACAACACATGAGCATGTGAAGAATGACAGCAAGGTTGTTAGCACCAAGCTAAACAACTGAGCAAGGTCTCGTGTTGCCATCACTTTCGAAACACAGTTTGCATAATTGCTGGTACCCTTAGGCAACATTAGCATCTTCATTAGCACCGCTGTCAGTGCGACTTTAAACAGAAACTAAACCCTAGATGTCAAAAGTATTTTTTTATTGTCTTCTTTCCTGTGAGCGACACTGCTAGCATAATTTCATAACAGTAATAATATAATGCATGTCAACCCAACAACAATAACGTGATGTTTAAGATAAACAGAAAATTGGAGCTGAGCCAGCGATAATCCTATCAATTATAATAATTCTACAATAATAGCAACAAAGTGCTCCAATTTAACAATTGTTCTATTTCTCCAGATAAACTGACGTTAATGTTTTGGTGCATCCTTTGTGTGCAAATCCAGCGTGTTGAAGCGTGATCAACAGTTGCCACGGTAACGCATATTCACTCGCATGTGATCTGAAACTCAATTTCATCACAGCACGTCCGAGATCATACCGTCTTTTGTTTGCCATGTGCAAATATCAAGAAGAAAGCAAATCCCCCTACATAATAATCACCAAAAATGAACTTAAAGGGCATATTTGCTTCAACTTAAAAAAAAAAAGGTGACACCTTATACAAACGCCACATTCAATTATTTTAAAATGAAATATGTTTTTGTCACATTTCTACATATTATTAAGGTTTATGTAATTAAATAATCCATAATTCATGCAAACAGCGTCGCCCTGGGGTAAAAAGGTCAATAAATTATGCAAAACGTATTCAAAGTTGCTCTTCGTTTGGACCAAAGCACAATCATCATTATTCAAATGAGCTGCCACTGGAGGCCAAAGCCAATGATTTAAAAAATTAAACTGATTCAAATGTTGTAATTGGGGTAGCAAGGCTCTTATTTGATGCAAAATCTTGAGTTGGACAAGGAATACTTTCAGTTCACTTTGTTAAAAGAATCCCCTCACCCCAGTTACATTTAGCGTTGCCGTTTGTGTCATGAGCATCACTGTTAGCAGAACTGTTAGCAACGCTTACAGCATCACTGTTAGTAAATTCTTAGTTAGGTTAATAGAAACGTCGTTAGCACCGAGTAGATAGAATTTGCAGTCGCCATTGAGAAATTCACCCATTCGCAGATTGTTTTTTTTGGGGTGGTACCTCTCGGAAACCCCTGTTCAGACTTTTTCTTTGCTCTGATCCCCAGTTTATTGACATTTTTTCCCCTCCCCAAAAAATTCCTGTGGCAATTATAAAGAAGCGACAATTATTTGTGGGTTTTTGCTATTTTTGTGGGATAGGAACCCAACCCAATCGCACGCCACTCATTTTTTGCTACGTTCTCAGCAATGTGGTTTGTACCATTTCTTTCCAATATTCTTTGCACCGGTCTTAGCATTTTTGTTAGCACTACAGTGATTTGGCTTTTTATTTTCTTTTTCAAGATTGTTAACCCCACCGCTACGATAAATGTTAGCGCTTATGTCAGCATAGTTTACTACCTTACAAGGACGGTATTTGGCTTATTCATCTTATTGGCTGGTAGAGGTCATGTGGTTTTATTGACATGTGGCGTCTATTTTGACTTCTGTTACCAAATACGGTCCATTGTGTTAGAAAGGTCGATTATATTGTTGAGGATTTATTAGCCATTTTGTTTTGTTTGACACATTTTTTTTTCAAAATGCATCTTCTTGCTCGCGCCTTGACATTTTGATGATGGAATTAAATGAGGGATGCTACTGCTAACAGATCCCAGAACTGGTCTCACCGGGTCTGTGTCAGTCAAAGACCAATTTCTGATTCTCGCTCCTGATGAATGATGGAGGTGAAGGGAGTTCAAGGCAGGGGGATGAAAAAGTTTGAGGGGGGGTTCAAGGGGTGTCTGATGAGCTCCAAACAGGTTTCTCCTCTGGGAAGGTTATCACTGGAGCTATTCCAGAAAAAAAAAATTACTATATGCTGCTCGGTTATCCATCATGCCGCAAGCAGGAGATTCATCGCCAGGAATTAGGAGAGCGGACCTGGACATCTTTAGCATGGGCGTGGGAGGGGGAAGCACATCGACAACGTTTGAGGTTTCCGTCACTGAATTTCATCATCACAAGATCTCAGTGTGGACCAGGACAGCATCGCTGTTTGTAATAAATCAGTTTGAATTTGCAGGTTAGATAAGACACGCATGTTTGATGGATTGCGGCCTGCACTGTATGCTGGCTTTATCTGATCCACTGCGCGAGCTGGAATGGATCACGCCGAGGGGAGGGAAATGGATTTCTTCCACTTGTAGAAAAGGATTCATGGCATCCACAGGCTGAATTTAATTACTATTCAATTGGCGTAGTAATAGCAAACCGATGGTAAAAATATTGCAAAAATGACAACACTTCTATCCAGGCAAAAAAAACAAAAAAAAAATGCTAGGAATTATGCCAACAATAGCAACCGGTTAAATGCAGAGGTTTGTCATTTCGATTAAATAATTCAGGCCAACTATTTCCATGTGATGTGATCGATTTCAATCAGGTTGGTATATGTGCCATTACATTTAATCAGGACAGCCATTTTACAGACGTGCAGAATTAGTATACCGATTTGCCCTGTTTATTAAGGTTGAGGCATTCGGTGAGCCTTTTTTTTGGGTTAAAAATGAAATCGGAACTCAATTAATCAGAACACAAGGCTCCACGGAAACCCGGTTATTAATTCTAGAACAAATGCAATCCATTACACTCCCAGTGATGCTACACATAGTCCCAAAAATGATACCAGAAGTGATGCTAACAATTCTGCTAGCGAGCACAGATACAAAAATGAATATGTTAAGACTTGCGTTAGCGCCTGGTTGTTAGCGTTAGCAATCGGGGCTACATTGTGGAGCTGTCATATAGTTCACATTCTGGATAGATTTTCCTAGTTTTCATGGGGTCTTTGATGGAAAGCTAGTTTCAAAAGGTGGAATTGCATCTTTTATCATACACATTCAGTACGTTGGGCACATTCCATGCGCAGTCATGCGTCAGTCTGGCTGGCTTTGTGTCTTTTTGGCACACTGGCACACTGACATATTGAATACAGTACAATGGAATAGAATGAATTGCCTCCGGGCCCGACATAAAGCGAGATGAAGTCAGCGACCCCGGTGGCTTGAGGCCGCTTTAATTGAGTCTTTCTTTCCCTGAACGTGAAGCCGAAAGAGCCGCGAGACAAATGAAAATGCCTGAAAAGAGATTGTCTCCATAAACAAGCTGCTGTGTTAGCTTTTAACACACTTGTTAATCAGTGAAATATACCTTTACAGCCACGGCAGGCTTACATTTTATTCGGTTCACGAGCTCATCATATGCATTATGGAAGAAGTCAGCAGACGTTCGCTCGAGGACGAAAAGCCAAAGGCAATTAAAAAGCTTGTTAAAATGTGACGTCTTCAATACTAAACCTACCTACAGTTTATTGCATGACCTTTTCTGCTAGACATGCGATTCATTTATGAAACCATTATTTCATTTTGTCATGTCTTCATTCGTTATTTTCTTGTATTGGATATACAGGATTCCATTTATTTAATTGAATTTTTTTATTTTGTCACATTTACATTTATTTGATATTTAATTTACTTGTATAGTGATGCTATTTTACGAATAATATTTATGATTACACTGGTAAACACATTTTTCAAAATATTTTAATGCGATTGTTGCTTTTTCTTTTTGCCCTAATTCAAATTCGGCCCTCAATTTTACATCAGGTTTTCATCATCATAAATAAATAATACAGTTAGATATTGAGAAATATTTAGGAAATTAAGGTTCGGGTTCAGCAACAGGTGGATGTTTTTCCTGAAAAGTCATAGCTCTAAATTACATTTATTATAATTTATTTTTGTCCCATTTTGACTATAGAAATACTGTATTTCCATTGGATCTCAATACTGTAGCTAGCGTACCTAATGACGTGTCCCGCGAGTGTCCATGAAGGTGAAGTTGAAGGTGAGTGGAGGTGCAGTAATCCTTGCGGGTGCGCTGTTGGTGTCTGTGGCTCGTCAGGTAGGTTAACACCTCACTGTGAGCCCCCACCAGCAACATGGCGGAAGGATGTGAGCGTCTAGAATGAGGCCTGGAGAGCCCGAATCAAAAAGTCAGTGAGGATTTGAGGGGGGATTTGCAGCATCCCGCTTGCACGCGCTGCCTTCACCTTGACATTAGCGGTTGCTTGGCAACAACAGCAACAACCACACAATTGACCAATGAAAAGCCAAACTTGGGCTGTGTTGGGGATCACTCACTAATGACTTCTAAAGCTGACTAAAAATTCCAATCAAAGTTTGGCCAGTTATTAGCGACGAATTGGTTATGATTCCACATGAAGCAATCACAATAAGGAGGGTTGTTATATCGTGGATTACAAAAGCCCATTTGTGCCAGTATTAAATCAGTAAACACACCTTGGAAAAGGAGGGGGGAAAAACAGGAAAGGCAAAGCAACATCCCCCCCCCAAAAATTTGAAGATACTAAGTCATAATTACAAGAAACTAAATTTAAATTGTAACTTAGCCACAATGATAGTCTCTCAGAACTATGATTTAAGGACCGTAAGCATCAAGATGGCCCACATTTCACTAACAAGCTCACTTTATGGATGTTTTCCTTTGGAAAATGAAACTAGGATTCATTTTCAATATCATCAAACAGACCGTTATGGAGCAATCTGGTAATAACCGGTTGTGCCTGGAACGCTCCTTTTCCATCCCCCACGGTCGATTTGCTACCACATTTTCGTGTGACGACAGTTCCAGAAGTGGACACAAAATTCATGATATAGCCGCTGTGAGTGAAGGAATGTACGACTCAACATATACTGCATTATTGCTGTTGGGTGGAACACTGTCCCCCAAATCCAAAATGCAGACCTTACGGGGGGGAACCCACCCACACACCCACACACCCACACACACGTGTAACATGTAACATGACAGATCATAATTTTGTGTTTTATAATAATATAAACCAAATCACACCTAGCAATTTAGGAAAAGTAGACAGCATGCTTTTCCAAACTACATTAACAATACTATAAACCACAGGTGTCAAACTCAAGGCTCGGGGGCCAGATCTGGCCCATCACATCATTTTATGTGGCCTGTAAAAGCAAATCAAACATGTCAACTTCTACCATGATTGCTAAAATCTGGACCAAAATTCCAATTTCTTATATGTAATAAATAAGAGAGATATTGTAAGCATTTTCTCTCATGTACAGTAACGTAAACAATCGTTGAATCAAACATTATTCTTGACTTCTTTAAATGCTTTCACAGTCATAACGGCCCTCCAAGGAAAACGGTCACTTCAATGTGGCCCCGCGACAAAAATGAGTTTGACACCCCTGCTATAGACAAAGCTGAGGTTAGCATTAGCATTTTAGCTTGACCCTCGGCAAGCGTTCCAGTTTCCCATCTGGCACCATTGCTAAAATGCCCAACACTGGTGTCAAAACAGTCGTTAACTTCCATCCATCCATTCATTCTGTGCACCACTTATCAAGCAATCGCCCCTTTCAAACCATCACTCGCAAACTCTTTTTCAAAGAAATAAGCAGTAGAACACTGTACATATAGTAACATACATGTAGGAGGCAGAAAGAAATCTGCATGCCCTTACCTTATCATGCCGCACAACTTGCTTGCGCCAAATGAGGAAATAGCCGGAGCTTATCACTTCTCCGATGTTTAAGAGCATTTACAGATTTGTTCTCAAGCTATTTTCACTTTAAATGAGTTCATTCTGCATCAAAATGATAGACCAAGTGAGGACGGACGCCTGAGCCACCACGGGGAAATGTGCTCTTCGACCACCTTTGACATCCGTAGACTCAAACAGAGTCAAACTATTTGAAATCAGGACTAAAATGATGATTACGTGTATTTTTTAGATTTTCTTCTGCAGCCATCACTTTTAAGTCCGCACCTCTAAAATAAGTGAGAACTTTCAGACCGTTCGAGAGGACCTTTGCTCAGTGTATGATTGCTGATTTGAAACACCTGTGCATCCAGGTGCGACTTGATCACTAACATTCACTCAGTCAAAAATGTCACGTATGGGAAATAGGAAAGTAGTAGATTGTTAGTGCTACAGACTGCAATAGAGCGAACACAAACGCATTTAAAAAAAAAATCATCTGCAAACCAAATATTTTGAAGTGTAATGTTGGAAATATTAAAATGTGAGGTAAAAGGTAGCCCGGGTCAACGCTAGTTAGCATGCTAGGCAGCTAAAAAATTGCTTTGCTGAAAGGTCATTCAATAGGTGCAGCTTTAATCTCTTAAGTTATGGGGTCGTGACCCGGGGGGGAGGCGGACATCAAAGTAGCATCGGGGAGCTTGCACCGGGCGGATGCGCACCTCCCATATAAGGGCGATGTAATATCAGAGTGGCGCTGACCCCTTTTCACCCTGACATCCCTGTGCGAGCGCCTTTCATTTTGACGGCCATCAAAGCGGACGCCGGTGATGGAGTGCCTCCTAATTCTCGGGGAGGCTTTGTCATGGAAAGAGGAGACGGCTTTGGGATGCTTCCACAGGAGCACCACTGTTAGCTCATTATCCAAAATGTTAACATCCTCGTATCCATCTGTATTTAAAATGCTGCAGGCATTCACTACGGTAGAAAATTGCTAGAACTGGTAGAGAGAGATGCATAGAAGGATGAAAATGAGAGTACAGTACAGAACATCATCCCAACAGGTTTGGTGCACCTGCACATACACACAATCTTGTTTTGTTATTTTATATATCACCTGTACATGTGCAGCTGCAGATAGATGCTCTTATTTGGATGGGACCGGGCTGTGGACTGCATGTCAAACAGCAGAGGCCGATAAGAGGAAAATGGAATGTGCTGTGAGCAGATGGAATCGAAATAAACATATGTTACGGGCACATTTCGGTTCACTCTTGCCAAGTTGAGAACATCAGGAAGTTATTTTCTGCATTATCTGTCTCTGTTCAGCAATTGTAAGAAGACATGATTTAAGTACGTACACGACCAGAATGTAGGCACATTAGCATGTACAATAAGTGAATGGCATGCTAGTCAAAAAGTACGCTGTTGAAAAATAAGATCGATAGCCCAAAGTAAGTAAGTAGGAATAAAGGTATCGGTACGTCCAAGAAAACACGTCCCTTAGCATGAAGGCAGAAAGAACTTGACTCAAATTGAAGTCATGTTACAAAGTTTGCTAGCAAGAAAGTATAAGTGTGAAAGGGCAATGTGTAGGAAGAACAAATAGCGCGCTAACAAATGTGAAGAAAGCAAAAGACTAAGTATGCACACTATCCATTAGCAAGTTTTAGCTAGTTCACAAGTTTTAGCTAGTTAGTCGTTAAGTACGTATGTTGGTTCTTATGGTAATTTTCCACTGTGCTTCCATCACTATGTACATGTGTTGGCAAGTACATCTTCTCCTGAGTGCTTAAGTTAAACAAGGCGCGCAGCTACGCCTTTCTCTGGCTGTGTAGCTTCGCAATTTACTCACCTTCATGGGAGATCCCCACCATAGGTGGAGCAACCTAAAATGTGGCCATTGCCTGGCAAAACTGGCCTTTCTTGCCATCTCCCATCTGCTCCAGCACTTTTCCTCTTACGTGATCCAGAGGCTCCAGTAGGTCCACTAATTTAATATTTGATTGATAAGCACATGAGAAATTTAAGTACTGTGAATGTATGTTGGTCATCTCCCATCTGCTTCAGCACTTTTCCTCTTACGTGCTCCAGAGGCTCCAGTAAGTCCACCAATTTAATATTTGATTGACTGATAATCACATGAGAAATTTAAGTACTGTGAATGTATGTTGGTTTGTCTGCACATAGAAGGAAAAGGCAAAGGTTTTCTGTCCAGGTGGTGGTTGCTGAACCAATGTGGAAAAGCTAAAACTTTGGTAAGGCGTCAGAAGATGTGCGGAAGCGCAACAGATGCTAGCAAAGTTGAAAGGTCAAAGCGGTGTGCTCATTCGAGAAAGACGATTCATGCTCAGCAGGTGGCAAAGTCACCATCAATCATCACTCAACTTCCTGAGAGGTCAGACAAAACCCTCGACGACGACCCTCTGACCCCCACGCTCGTCTTCACTCTCCACCAAGTCAACTTCCATGACACGTGAACAAGTTTTGGTTTTAGCTGAGCTGCTCGCTGTTGATGAATGATTTTGCTAGCTTGGTTACTTGACCTGGAGTTGCTTGAGTCACAGTAATGAAAATATAAACAACCTCCATCCCCAAACCCTTCTATTCATATTCCGCCTGCATCGCTGCCGTTTTACTCCAGGTATTTAAAAAAATGGTTTTATTGCCAACTTTCAGCCAATGACCGCAGAAATGAGACCAAGGTCACCAAGCAGAGTCGACCGAGATTTCATTTACATTTAGAACAAAATGAAACAAATAAAGCTGCTACTGAAAAAAATTAAAAATCTGAATTCCATTGTAAATGACTGCACCCTCATGCTAATTGGTGACGCGATGATCTTTCCACTACAGTGATGAGGCAGATGGCGTTGTCGTCTTCCCAGGTGACATCACTTCGTCCTGACATCTGCTTCCAAGCTGTTGACACATGACCTTCCTCTCGGAGGTCGTCAATGGCTCTTCCTTACTTCGTGTTCTTTTCGGGATGGAAACACTTGAACCATTTGAAATTTGGCTGCTGCTACACAGCGTTTCGGATAACGCATTGTCGGGAGGCATCCTCACACTTCGAAAATGAGTACCTTTCAGTAAAGTAAAATCATAAACATAATTATAAATAAAGGAAATTAAGGCAACTATTACACTGCACGCTTTGTGTAAAAAATGGAATACAGTGGTGCCAGCTGTATTGCTAAAATTATGCTAACTGCCATATGGGTAACAATTTTGCTATCAAAGCACTAGCAGCATCGCCAATAAGAGGACATGCTGCTAACAGCATTGATAGCAATGTTGCTAATGTTGAAAACAAAAAAGCCAACAGTGCTTCTCGAAATGTTGCTTATTAGGCACTAATGATGACAATCTTAGCAAGAACGTACATTTTATTCTACATTTTGATATGTACACAACAAGCGACTTATGATAACATGTCCAAGAAAAATAAACAATTGCACATCAGCTTCCACTTTTCGTCCTACTTTAAAAATAAAATAAAAATAAAAATCAGGATACAAAGATAGATCCAAGATGACCGATCGCTCACTCCAAAGTGGCCACGGCGGCATTTATAGTCCAAACAGAACAGAGGAAGGAGTACCAGGACTTCATGAAATACTGTAGTATTACAAAGACTATAAGCAAAAGTATACTTTCTGCGTGTAAAATATGACATCATCATGATTATCATCATCAGGCACTTCGCAACGCCGCAACTAGCGCAGAGACAACCTATTTTCCATCACATCTGTTACTGTGGCGACCACACACAAATTTCATTTTGTACGCACAAAACGGAAAAAATACATTAAAAATACAATTTAAGAAGTTTCACATGTTTAAAGAGTACTATGATGATGATGCTGCTAACTAGTGACCTAGCTCATTAGCATCCAGTCTGGAACGCAAAGTATGATGGCAAAGTTTGATTCCAAAACTTTTATGGCTTCTTTGGAGAGTTCAATTAATGACTGCAATTTACTTCACTTCATGTTAGCATCTTAACTTAGCCTAGCTAAGCTTTTAGCAGGGGCGAAGGTAATCTTTTGACAAAAACAACACGGAATGGAATTATTTTGAATTGGGAGTAACTGGCAACAAGGCTGGCCGCATTCTCTAATTTAGAATGTATTACAAATAATGAACATAATTATTATATGTTGTCAGCTTATGAGTGTGGCAAGCTTTTCAATGATACCATCCTTGTGAAAATAGGCTAAAGATTAAGAAAGTTATGTGGCCATCTCTTGCAAATTTCCCAAGCTTGCAGGGAGAGAGTTATGGGAACATTTCATGCAGATTGCAGCTTGTGGGCACATGCTCATCATTTAGAATGAATTCTGATTCACTAACATACGCGGGTTGGTGAGAAGCAAATTGGCCAGTCCGTAAGTGTCATCAACGGGTGATTTTGTGAACATGTACTTGTGAGCAGAGGGATAACATTTCGATGGATTTATTAGTGAATGAGGTCCAAAGATGCTAACAATGTCCTATCATTGTTTCTGACAGATTTGCTCACGGCGGCGCCAGCAATGTTGCCAACAATGATGCTGAAAAGGGGCTGTCAGTGTTGCTCACAAAGTGGTAGCAGAGTTCCTAAAATAGATGCTAACAGCAATGGGAGTAATGTCGCCACCAGTAATGGTAACCAGCTTGTGGGCACATGCTCATCATTTAGAATGAATTCTGATTCACTAACATACGCGGGTTGGTGCGAAGCAAATTGGCCAGTCCGTAAGCGTCATCAACGGGATGGTGATTTTGTGAACATGTACTTGTGAGCAGAGGGATAACATTTCTATGGATTTATTAGTGGTTGAGGTCCAAAGATGCTAACAATGTCCCGTCACTGTTTCTGACAGATTTTCTAACGGCGGCGCCAGCAATGTTGCCAACAATGATGCTGAAAAGGGGCTGTCAGTGTTGCTCACAAAGTGGTAGCAGAGTTCCTAAAATAGATGCTAACAGCAATGGGAGTAATGTCGCCACCAGTAATGGTAACGAGGCCCTGACAATGTCGCTAAATACGCATCAACCGCTAACAGGGCCGCGATAGTCTCGCTAAAAAGGTGCTAGCAGTGTTGCGTGTTACCTGACAACACACGCTAGTTCGCTAGCATATTAACACTCAAAGGCCCAATTGTGTCAAAGCGAGCTAATTTGTGGTCGTCTTTGCATCTGCTTTTCTTTCTTCTAGCGCGGGCAGCAGGTGGCTGCCGATGAAAAATTCAGTGTGAGAGAGCAGCTCGTGAGAGGAAGCGGAGAGGGGTTGGGGGGTGAGTAGCAGGACGAGGGTGACAATGAAGTGGGAGAGGGGGGAGGATGATGAAGGCACGGAGGTGGGCTAATGAACAACAACATTGAAAGCCCGGAGCAGCAGGCAGGCCAGCGAGCCGAGCCCAGAGTGGAGGTGGTGGGGGGATTAGATGTGAGTTAGACAGCAAATCAGAGCTGTCAACACTTCCTAGTAGAGCATCCACAGAGACAGCACCTCATTAATTATTCATGAAGGGGGGGGGTTGTATTTTTATGAGCGACACAGCATGTCCCATTTTTCCATCATTTTTGGGCAGGGGTAGGAAACTCCGGTTCCTCGAGAGCCATATCCTGCCTGTTTTAGATCCCTCCCTACTCCAACATACCTGATTCAATTGTTCATGATCGTTTCAGCCCAAACCGGAGTTCCCTACCCCTGCTTTAGGGGGACAAGTTTTATTTTGGGAGGCGGAACATGGAGTTCACCAAATCAGGACATGGAAGTCGTGGCGATGAATCGGTTATCAACACGGAAGCCAACAACACTGTTCGTTTTCTCTTCTATAGGGAGAACCGAGGAATGAAGAACAGAAAGTCAATGTAGCATAGTATTGAAGAGAAAAAAAAAAAAAAACATCACAAATCCGCCGCTGTACTCTGATCGAGAACATCTCGGTGTTAGCATAGCATTGAGACGGAAAACAAAAATGAAACATCCTTGGGATAGGAAGTTGACTGAACGTAGACATGCTGTTGAGCATGGTAGGCTTAGCCTTGAGGTGGCAAATAATATTAAAAGCCTCCACTGTGCACATTTTTTCCTATTCATTTAATTTGGTAGGATGAAGCGCAAGTAGATCAAATATCACTTTAGGTCACTTGTACGCATCTCACAGCAAGGCATTCTGGGAGGTCTCTTTTTTTGCTGGCGCTGCCACCGTGGGAGGTTACACACATGTGCTGTACACATGCACACAGAGCTGTTAACAGCGATCATCAACTAGTTTTACGATGGCAATTTCCAAGTATTTTGATGACTTTCGAGTTGATCCACAACTCGCAATGCTGACAGAAAGTTACTCTGGATAACCCATACACGCTGTCCAAGGTTTGATTTTTTTGCCGGAGGTCCCGACATTGTTTCCTATCTGGTGTTGACAACATGCTCAGTAACACACGCCAGATGAAAGCTTACAAATTCACTGGAAGATTACAACGATTTCCTTAGTGGATGGATACAGCGTGTAAACTTCAAAATCATGTGTGAAGAAGCTACTTAAGTTGTCGCACAGGTAGCTAAACCAACGGGTGTTGTTAATTTACTATTATTGGCTTGTATGAATAGCAGCGATCGGCGTTTGCCTCAAGACACATCCGCTAGCAGGCTTGCACTAGCCAACTAGCTTGCTAATGAATCCAAAACATTAGCGGCTTGCAGTTTAATATTGTTTCATGAGATTTTTTACATTTTGTCGATATAAAATAATCACTACGATCTTAAAGATAAGCTAATTTAGTGCTGACAAAGCGATCGCTGCACACAGGAACCCAAATTATAGATTGGTCACGGCAGTCTGCCACTTCGCTTGCCGTGTTTTAAAAAATTTCTTTAGTCTCCTTCCTGGCCTAGGTGCATAATTATCTTCGGTTATACCACTCAATGACGCAGCAAGAGTGCGCCATTTTTAGAACAACCCAGAGGCGTGTTATGCAATCAAATGCAAACAGTTGAATGCTATCCACACAAGATGGTGAGCGGGGAAAAACCCAAACAAAAACAAAGCGGAAGTGACTTCACATGTGAACGATCTATTCGGGCTGGCTAGCATGTTAGCCTAGCACTGAGCCGGAAAACGAAAAAATCTGACAACTGTCGCCAGGAACAAAAATGAAGACAAGGTACCGATTGTGCGTGTCAAGCCATGGCTGGAGGGGGTTCGAACAACGGGCCGCACAGTTTTGGGTTCACAGAACGGATGCCGGCGATAAGCGTGTCACAAAATGGACGCCTCGGATGCCAGGCTAAGGTGGGGGCTAACCCTCAAGAATAAAAGAGTCGTCCTTTCTCAGAGCCGATGCGGTTGAGTCTGGCGAGCTGCGAGGGCGAAGGTGGCACGTCGTGGCGGTACGGACCTTTGGGGGATGCCACCGGGGAGGCCAGCACGTCTCTGGGGGAGGCCCGGTCCTTGGCCTCCAGCTCTCGCCGCCTCTGCTCTTGCCGGAGGAGCTCCTGCGCCTCGAGGAGGACCCTGGCGTTGACGTTGGCCACGCTGGGGAAGCCGTTGCGGGAGCCCTGGTAGCTGGAGTAGCGAGGATTGTCCTTGGCCGTCTGGAAGACCTCCCCGGCCGGGTACGACTTTTCCCAAGAGTCCTGAGAGATGGAGCTGGGATTCTTCCGGGGTTGGCTACACACCAAAATAAACCAACATCATCTCATGAACACAAATATCAGAATAGAGATGAAAAAAAATTCAAGTTTACTCTAAAGCTCATCATGAAAATACACTTTGTGTATATAAAACAACCACGCCGCTTTGCCTTCTGCAAGCTTCGTGCTAGCAGACGATGCAAAAGGCCACGGACAGGCTCGTCAATGGCAACCAGAGTCACGGTGTTATGATCTCCGATACAGAGGGACCACATCACTTTTATTTTTGTTTTACATTATTGTATGCATTGTGTATTTTATATTATTATTTTTATTATCAAAACCTGATGTGCGAGAGTAAGTTTTCTTGCATCACCCTGTAACCCGATAACATGGTAAGCTGTCCACTGTAGTGACCGCTGTCCCTCAAAGGGTAAAAAAAAAAAAAAAAAAAAGTTAAAAATTGTTGGCCAGTATAGATCACATTGTAATATATTTTGTAATATTTATGAATTGTGGGTTAGGTTCAGCAACAGGTGGAGTAAAATCCATTTTGTGCAACCCAAAAATCCACCATCAGTTGAGCTGACGCATCGTGCGAGAAAGGAGCCAAGGGTCCAAAAAGCGTCAAACGAGCATCCAAACGCAGACACCGCCAACTGTTTCATCTCCCAGTCTATCAATAATAGACGTGTTTATCAGCCAGCGGGAAGAACCCGTCGTCGTCGTCCTCCTCACACTTGTTTCAATGTGATCACCACGACTGAATATCATCTTTTCAAGGAACAGCGAACACTGCTGCCGCCGCCGCTATCTCCCGCTGCTCGCTGAGTCGCGCCGGAAAATAAAGCTCGGGTTTTCTTCTCTCGCACGCTCCGACGGTTTACAATCTTCTCGTTGGTCACGCTCTCCTTTCATTTGGACAAAGACGGCCTGTGCATGAGCTTGAGGCGCGCACGTGACAAACATATGAACATAAACCAACTATCAGGAACATAATTCACGTACACCAATGTGCATCGTCGAACAACAACGACAAACGTGAACCGATGCAAAACTAAACGGAGAGGCGAACATGAATCAACATAAACAGACAAAAATGAAGCAAACACATCCAGAACACATGAAGGTAGGTAAACATACAGGACATAGACATATCGTAACATGCATGAACAATTGAATGCACAAAAAAATCTGCAAGCATACGTGGAAAATACACAAATAAACATGACACAGACGAATACACGCATTCATACATGAACATCATCTTACCGTGGCAGTGAGCTGTACTGCCGCTGAGCCTGAGCAAAAGAATCTTCCTGCCGTTGACGCTGCATCTGAACCTCTACCGACACCGAGTGACGACCCGGCTGGTGCCCGGCCGCCGCGCTGGGCCCGTTGGACTGGAAACGACACCATATGACATTATCATGATCCATTTGAATACTGTCATAGAGTCACTGGCATTTTCCAAAGACATGACGCTCATTTTTGTTGCTGGAGCGTGTTCTTAGTCAAGACTTGGAAACTTTTGACCTGAGGTATGTGCAGCCAATGGATTCAAATAGTATTTTTGTTTTGGAAAAAAAAAAAAAAAAAAAAAGGGGGATTTTTATTTCAAGACCATATTGCGCAGCCCTACCAACAGTCAATATTGCCACCTAAAACACAGCCTGGACACTTCAAGGTTTTGTTTTGTTTTCTTCTTATTTTATTTTTTACATCCCGCGCCCTCGAAGAGCCAGGCATTTTTTATTCACCAAAAAAAAAAAAAAAAAAAAAAAAAAAATCTACTCATCAAAATCAGCAGCTTCCCACTTACATGGGCCCACCCCCCAAAATAAATAAATAAATCTGTTTTTCTTCTCCAAGTTGATTATTGATTGAAAGTTATTGCTTAAAAAGTTTGAGTGTTATATAAGAGTTACAATCAGAATTTTTTTCAAGCAAACAAGCAAGACAGGGGTGGACCCCCCCCTCAAAAAAAAAGATTACAATCAAACAACGGTTAAGAATGTGACTGAAAACATGACCTGTATAGTTATTTATTTTTTATTTAATAGATAATCCTGCCCCCCATCCCCTGCAGTTGAAATAAAGCAATGACAAAAGGAAAAACAAAAATAAAATTGTATTGTTTTTTTTTTAAATATAAAATTGGGGGATTTTATTTTAAGCACCACCATTTTATTTGTGTCGTCAAGTCTGACTGACAAGTGACAAGGATGACGATGAGCTGCCTGTTCAGGTACACGTGGAGTCACTTACCGGGCCAAGATGATGATGTCATAATGATGATGTCATAACGGTGGTCAGGTGACAACAAACAAGACACGAGGGGACGGAGTGAAGGGAGAAGCATGCTGGACACTCTGACACAAGTTACTGAGGATGATGATGAAGATGTTAGTCAAGGTTAATTCGTGCACTTTGAGCACATCATCACGCCCATATAAGGACAGAGGTTATGCCCCGCCCCCTTCCCTGCACAACATTCGTATCCATCAAAAAGGCTTGGTGCTTGTTTGTGCATTTACTGCACTGTTCATTTGAAAGAATGACCTGTTTATGGATATTCAAACGCTTTAAATTTGGACAGAATTTTTTTTCACCCAAATCTGATTAATCAATTAACTGAAAAAAATAATTGACAGATTGATTTATCAATCCATTTTCCAAACCTTCTCACTAGGGTCGGATTAAAATAATCAAAAGGGAGCAGCTCTTAAACTGTAAAACGTGCAGCTCGTCCATGTGATCGGTTTTGGAATTAGCCGATCTCACTCATGGATGATCGATAGGTTTAGGAAACATCGCATACTCCCCTGATCGAACAGCCCAGTTCATTAAAAAGTATCTTTTTCCATTTTTAAATGTATCACTTGTCTCAGGATATAATTGATTCATTGATTTATCATAATTCTTGAGCACTCCTGGCATAACTAGTGATCAATTATATAGGACCAAAAATAAATAAATAAATAAATAAATAATATATTTAAATGATGGTATTGATTCCTACATGCAAGCAGAGAAATTCCGCGTGAAAAGAAAAAAAAAAAAAGTCCACAGAGACCATCGAGCCTTGGAGGTACTAAGAAAGACCTCGAGGAAGCTCTTAGACCAAGTTTTTTAGTGTGTGAACGAGGAGATCATGCAAATTGATGGCAAAGTTCTGAGACACGGTTCCTGAGGTCTGAAATCTTTCAGTCTTGTTGCCCAAGCGTTGTTTTCCTTGTTGTGCTAAAAGAGTCAAACGTGTCAGAAAAACGTTTTATTACGCAGACAAAGAAGAGAAGAAAATTGAGTCTCTCGGCTCTCCGCGGATTTGATCGAAATCTAAAAGGCGAACCACATCGGCACATTGACAAACATTAAAAAATGGACGAGGGCTAACAATCACGTTTAAAAAACACTCCATTTGAACAAGAATTGCACAACACAAAAGTCCAAATGTGCTTGCTGTTGAGTCTTTCAAAAGGAGTTCATCAGATCATTTCATCCTTGCGACAGCACACAAACATCGTTTCACATTCAAACTGGCTCAGAAATACACATAACCTACGTTTGATCATTTTGCTCAATTCAAGTGTGAAAAGGCACCAAAAAAAAAATAAATAAAATGACAACAGGTGATGAGCTGACAGCCCCTCCCCTGATTTGCCAAGAGTTGTCGACTTGGTGGGCGTGTCCATGCCAACGACTGACAGAGATAAGGGACCAATGAGATTAGTGGTGATGCTCGCATGCAGACAGTCCGAAGGGGTGTGCGTGTGCTGTGTTAGCGTTGGGTGCGCGTCCGGTCTAGTCTGGTCGGCGGTTAGTGGTGGTTAGCATCCCATCGCTAACGCTGTTAGCATCCCGTCGTCAGACACTCACCCACGGCTGCTCGAAGCCGAACGCGCGCCTGCGGTCGTCATCAGCGTCGGCGTCGGGAACGTTCTGCGCCTGCTGAAATTCCTGCCTCAGCCGCTGTATCCGGTCGTGGTTGCTTGGGGCCACGCGGTTGCTAAACAACAAACACACACGCAGATCTGTCAGTGAGTCGGAGCATGGCAGAGAGATGAATGTGAGTGTGTCTGAGTGTGACATATCCAGATGAGTGTTGCCGTAAGTATTTGAGAGTGTGTGAATGTGAGAGAGAAACTGAAACAGTGAGAGTGAAGAAATCGAGTGCGTGAGTTGAGTGCGAGTCTCTCGAAACGAGTGAGTCGGTATGTGTTAGTCCCTCATCTTGCTCTTGCTCATCTCACACACGGTTACCGGGAGTGTGCATGCACGTGGGTTTAGGTGAGAGACCGATGACTGTGTGAAACTGCGACTAAGGAAGTGTGTGTGTGTGTGTGTGTGTGTGTGTGTGTGTGTGTGTGTGTGTGTGTGTGTGTGTGTGTGTGAGTGAGAGAAAGAGAGAGAGATTGACATGTACCAGTGCATTCCAAAAGTTGTTCTAGCTATTGGACGTGCACGTGAGGAGTCTCTGACAGGTGTCAATCAAAAGCGATTGTCAAATCAGACAACGTCCGCAATGAAGTGTCCCGTGAGTGCATTTCAATGACATCATCATTGACGTAAATGAGATGCGGCGGTGTTGCCTTCAAGACCGGTTGTAAAACCGATGTTCAAATTTTAAAGAATTAACCAATACAAGTTCCTCCCTTGTGATGCAGGTTCAACTGTGCAATATGTTCCTGACAATTAAAAAAAAAAAATGTCATCAACAACGTCATCCCTTTATAGCTCAGCCTTAACATTCAGTCATATTCGCTTTTTAATTCAGTGAATTCGACGTTCCACGAGGAAGAAACGTTGGGATGTTGAATCTGAAGGAGACACTGAGGCGCACGCACACACACACACACACACACACACACACACACACACACACACACACACACACACACACACACACACACACACACACACACACAATACTCACTCAAGTAGACTGACACACTCTTGCACACAAACACACATTACTCTTTCTCTCACACATACACATGCACACAAACTCTCACTTTCACACACGTATCTCGCTCTCCAAGTCACTCACTCACTCACTCACTCACTCACTCACTCACTCACTCACTCACTCGCTCACTCACTCACTCACACTTCAACGCAAACACACGCTCACACTGGCTCACTCGCTAAAACATTCACTCACTAACTTCTGCACATAAAAACACAAAAACTTTCATTTGAGCAGAAGACAGATTGTCCAACATATTTGAACCATTTACCACGAGTCATGATAAAAAAAAAAAAAAAAAAAATGTGATCATCACTTTACGATGCGTCTGTGGCGTAAAGGAAATTAGGCGGTGATGATGATGCTACTGCTACTAGTGGCTCTTTTACTTTCGAGTGTTGACTCATGGCGCTTCGACACACCTGCACTCGACGCCGTCCGCCCTCGCTACGCCGGGCGCGGCGCTGCGTTCCTTTCAGAAAGGGCTGCTGGCTGGCGGCTTCCCCGCCGGTCGGCGAGAGCGCTCAGATGGCGGGGCATACGCGCGAACTCGCGCTTTGCCTTTCCGCCGCTCACACGGCGATTGAGCGTTTCACGGCTCAGTTGCCATGATTGCCTTTATCCATTCGCACTTCGATAGTTGGTTGGTTTGTTCTAATGCTTTGATGTTTGTTGTTTTCAGGTCAGTTTTCGAACAATGCTTGTGGACATTCTCATCCAGGTCATTTTGTTCTCAGGGCATTGAAACAAATATTTTGGTGTTCAGGATTTTATTTTATTTTTGGCCGAATAGTTTGTCTGTTATTATTTGCGTATACTGTAATTTATCACTATTCTGTTTTGTTAATATTTTGTGTTTTTTTTAAATAAAATTGTTATATCAATATTGTGACTTATTAAAAATGTCACAATATTCTAGAATGGAATTTTGGGGGATTTTTCCTCACCAATATTTGTACATTTTTAAAATTTTAATAGTACGTATTATAGTATTTTAGCCCTTGTCTAATATGTTTTAAAAAAATTTGGAATTCTTTTATTCTATCTGTAATATTGTGGGATATGTTCCTGATATTTTTTTCCATTTCTCCTGAATGCGTTTTTTTAAAAGTATATTTTTGGGTGAGAAAAAAAAAACATCAAATTTTTCAATGTTATCCACGTTTTCAGGGCTCTTACAACTCTAAGTGCTTCGATAAAATGAACATTCTTGATATTTTTGCATTTTTCTCAAAAGTCCAGTCGTCCGTTTTATTTTTGGTAGACAAAATTTTATGTGTCGACTATTTCAAATTGCTTTCCATGTTTCTTGTAACACTCTGAGATTTTGATTTGGATTGGCCGTTAAATTGCTTGCAAATCTGTCAGCCATCGGGGAGGCTGCAAAGCCGCTTCATGGGCAGCGAAAGCTGAGGAGAATCCGGATGACCTGCAGCTCGGTGTCTTGTTGATGCGAGCGCCACTAATCTCTCCGCAGCGTCAACACAAACACGCCTTGTTGAGCATGCTAATCCTCGGCTAATGCTTAGCATCCATTCACACCCGTTCCCATTTGGAAGCAAAACGTTGCCCTGGAAATGCTTGACAGCACAGAGCAGCAGCAAGCGACACGTTTTTGTTTTGAATATTAAAAAAAAAAATATATATATATATATATATTGTTGTATATTTTTAATATAATCAATTTCTTTTAATGTTCTTTGACAATTGTGTAGGTTTTAGTTTGTGTTTAATTCTTTTTAATGTGTGCTGATTTTTTCGGCTTAGTTTCCAATATTTGTTGATGTATTTTTTTAAAAAATCAATCTTTGTTTTAAATTTAACCCCCCAACATTGATGTTTTGTCATCCAATATTTTTTAATAATTTTATCCAATATATTGAATTATTTTTGAATATTTGGTTTATCAAATATTTTTGAGTCTTTTGTTACATATTTTTTAATCGAATATTTGAATATTTTCTTGAGTAATTGATTACTTTGCATTTTATTAATTTTAACATTTGTGTATTTTCCCCCCAACATTCTATTACATTAATATAATTTCATATTATTAAATAATTTACGGTTATACAAAGCTTTTTTTTCTTTCTTTTCTTTTTTTTTTTTTAAAAAGGTTGTTTCAAATTTTTTAAAAACTTTGTGATTTTCAGTTTTAAAGAGAGACTTCAAAGTTCCTCAATGTCCTTTAAAGGTTTGTTCAGGGTCTGAAACTCTTATTTTAAAATCTTTTAAGTGATGAAGGGTGCACGGTGTTCCAGACTGTTCCGGGCTGTCGGCTAACAAGTTGGGAAGGTTTGTAGGGGGGAGGGACGCTTGGGGGTCCACGCCACCTTTGGTCGGTCATAAAGACGTCAATGTCTTGCCTACTCGAGTGAAGAAGTCTCTGTTGTTTCTGACAGCTTCAAAAGTTTTTCTTCAAAGCGACGTTACTGAACGAACGCTTTGAACTCTCAAGGCAAAACACGTAGCATTTTTTTTTTTTTTTAAATTCCTGGTTGGGCATGAAGTCAGCATTTTATATAATTCGGGAAAATACGCTCAAATTTCCATTCTCGAATATACAGATGTATCTTTTGAAGATACTTTGGGAGGCACTGTCGAACAGACGCTCTCCCTTTTCTGAGAACCAACACCATGACCTCACACCAACTGAATCCAATCAAGCAATATTTTATAAAGAGACAACAGGCTGAACAACCAATTTCCTGCTGCATAAAAATGATTGAGGGGAATTGACTCACTGATTTTCCCCCCTTTCCTGACACCAAATAACAAATCAGATATATTACCCAATGACGTCAAAGCTTCAACCAATGCATTTTTATGATACTTTTCAGAAAAGAGATGACATATTTTAAGGAACCTTATCAAAGCGAGCCCCCCCGCCCCCACTTTGCCCATCAAGGGAAAGAGACAGGGCGGGCATCAAAAGAGCACCAAGGATGGAAAAGAAAAGTCAAAGGGTGTCAGCGCGCCGAAGCCTTCACGCTTGACGCAATCCCTCCCGAGGATGTCTGCTGCTGTCTGGAGAAGATATCCCAGGATGGGAAGCGCGTTTGAAGGCTGAGCTGAGGGGAGAGGGCATGGCAGCACAAGATAAAGGGAAGCAGGAAGGAAGGATGAGTCCGAGGAAGATAGCGGGAGGTGCAACAGGAAGCAAGTTGCAAAAGAAAAGCAGGACAAAGCCGCGAATAAGTTTGCCCTCGACAAATTCTGCGAGAGTACATCACAATCCCCCCCTGAGGGGTTTTGTAAACGTTTTGCACAAGGAGCAAAGGTCGAGTTCTCCTCAGAGTTCAAGGTCGCAAATGTTTGCCAAACGTGCTCCAGACGTATGCCAACAGCTTAATTTTTTTTTTTTTTTTTGCAAGAAAATTTGAACTCAACGTTCGCGACCTTCGCCAACACTCGCCGCTTTATGACAGCTGAAATGCTAATTTGTCAGATTCTGGACAAAGATGTCACTGCAAATTATGGCAATGCTATGTCTCTTTGGCCATTGAATTTCATGAATTTCAGAGTTCAAAAATACTCATCAATATTATTATTATTTGTGATATTTGTTTATCCAGATAAGGCAATTAAGAAACTCCCAAGTATTTAATCACATACAGTATTTGTTTGAACAGAAAATAAAGGGGGAAAAAATGGAACCCTTTTTTGTTGTGTTTTTGCCATAAGGCATATTATCTCGCTGGAATTAAAAGAAAAATCTTTTTGAACTCGAAAAATTCTCGTTTGATGAGTTCAAGACAATATGAAGCAATACTTTTGTGTTTCATGTTTCACCAGTGCTCCATATGATCATAGCGAGAAATCCAATAGTCTTGAGTGTCAGCACCTTCACGTTCCCGCCGAACACTCTAGAGAAGACGCGGAAAGGCTGATGTGGAAAAAAAAAAAAAAATCAAAAGCCAAAAGAGGTTTGCGCTTCTTGCGTCTTCTGCGCTTGCGAGAGCGACGGCGCTCGCCGCGGGGCCAACGACAGGCGAGCATGAATGAATTGCTGCAGGCGAATATTTTATAGATTAGACGGA